TGTTCTGTTATTTTCTTTGTTGGGCCTGTCTTGTAGGAGGTGACTTTTGGGTACTCGTCTGGCTCTGTCAATCTGTTTTTTCACTTCAGCAGTTTTGGCAGCATTATTGGAGTTGGCCCTGTCTCAACCCCATGGGAACTAACACCCAGTTTTCATGAACCCCAGTGCACTGCTAGAGCTAATTTCCAGTCGTTATTACAGAACTATTCCATTTTCAACAGGAAAGAGGGGAGTCTGGTGGGTCCGTCTCTCAAATTGTTGAAATGGCCAATCTCATGATAACGGACAAGGCACTTTCCTTCAGTTACTCGCTGAACTGAGGCTGCCTCCAGCAGCTTCACAAATCCTGTGTCTTCTGTCTTTTAAAAGCAAATCACTGCAGATCCTGCGATTCAGTGATAATGGCCACTGGGGACAAATACAGGATTCTATGCACCAAACGCAAAGAGCTGATACAAATTATTCAAAGAGACCCTGATAACATCTTGGATGAGTTACTTGCCCAGTCCATCATCACAGAGGAGGAGTACAATAGCTTCTATCAAAAAGAGAACTTAGTGATCAAAATCAGGAAGTTGTTAATTCACATACAGAAAAAAGGGGAGTCAACCTGCCAGCAATTTCTGGAGTGTTTAGAAATCCTCTTTCCTGGCACCAATCAGGATTTACAACCTTCTGGTCATGGTAAGTCAAATCTCTTTCTGTTTTATTTTTAAAAAACAACAACAACAAAAAAGAGGTAATAGCCATAATCTTTATGAGGAGAGATTAATAAGACTGGGACTTTTCAGCTTGGAAAAGAGATGGCTAAGGGGAGATATGATTGAGGGCTATAAAATCGTGACTGGTGCAGAGAAAGTAGACAAGGAAGTGTTGTTTACTTCTTCTCATAACACAAGAACTAGGGGTCACCGAATGAAATTAATAGGCAGTAGGTTTAAAACAAACAAAAGGAAGTATTTCTTCACACAATGCACAATCAACCTGTGGAACTGCTTTCCAGAGGATGTTGTGAAGGCCAAGACCATAACAGGGTTCAAAAAAGAACTAGACAAATTCATGGAGGATAGGTCCATCAATGGCTATTAGCCAGGTTGGGCAGGGATGGTGTCCCTAGCCTCTGTTTGCCAGAAGCTGGCAATGGGCGACAGGGGATGGATCACTTGATGATTACCTGTTCTGTTCATTCCCTCTGGGGCATCTGGCATTGGCCACTGTCAGAAGACAGGGCACTGGGCTAGATGGACCTTTGGTCTGACCCAGTATGGCTGTTCTTATGTTCTTATGTTGTTATGGATTCTTTCCTGTTCCGATTAGGATCCACATCCCATATCTTAGCTCCCGTCAGACACCACAGCCTTCTGTTCTCTGGATCAACTCCGGTGACAGGCCTGTCTATTCTTATTAGTAGGAAGTTCCCAGTCATATAGACCTGCCTCTTCCTGGTGTTGGTTCAATTCTCCAGCCTTCCCCCTTGTGTTCCCTCTGGCTGCAAGTCTCCCTGCCTTCTGTTCTCACTTGCAATCTTTGGCAAGTCATCCTTTTTCCTCCTGGTGCTCTGAACTCTGGCTACCTCCATTGACTTCTCCTCTTCTTGTGGGTGACTAGCTACTCTTCTCTTTCTCCTTACCCAACTATCTTCTGTTACTGGCTGACTCTCTCCTATATCCAGCTCAGCAAACCTGTTCCTCAGCTCTATTTCTTGTTCACTAGTCGGTCTTTTCCTCTGCCATGTTTTCATAGTCACATGCTTCCACTGGCCACTCTCCGCAGCCTACCCTCACAGTTCTTCAGTTTAGCTTGCATCAAGTCTTGAGTTTTCTTTTCAGTTTCCTCTCGCCTTCTTTCCATCATCTGCTCAAATCCTCTTTGAAACTCAGCCATGGCTTCTAACAGCATCTCCAAACCTCGGATCAGCTCTGCCATCAAATCTAGCAGGCATAAAAAAGAAGCAGCTTTCAGGTACCCTCTTCAGAATGATATACATCCCGCAGCTTCCACATCCCTCCTCTTCATTGTCTCTTCCATTCCTTGGGTCACTACCATGGCTGCTTCTGTAAGCACCTGTCAAAACAACAACACCACCCACAAAGAGCCACACACACCTTCCCGCAAACTACCATTCAAACTTCCCTGTTGTCAGCTCTGTTTTCTGGCTTCTGTGTTGCTGCTCGTGTGCCACTGGCTGGTCGCATGGCTGCATTGCTAGGCTCCCTAATCAGGGATGCCTCATCCTCTAATCAGGGCTCAGCTTTCATCAAAGGCTCTGCTTCTCTCACAACACACTGCCCGCTACCAGACTGCGAACTGAAAAAACATCCCTCGCTGTTGTTAAAACCAGTTGCCCTGTATTGGTGCTGATCTATGTTTTTAATTTTCCTAGTAGAGACAAGGCCCAAGGGAAGATTTAACCAGCAGCCAATTCGTTTGTTACAAAGATGAGGTTAGCATCTAGCAACATTTCAAACAGAAAAACAAAATGAAAGCATCACTAAGCCCCAAAACAGCCAGGAACAGGTGGGGATTTTTCTGGCAGGGAGACTTGCAAAAGCCTAGGAGTTTTGCATCCTGTCTATCCGCCAAGTGTTTATCCAGTCCTAATTTTCTATGGTCCAGGTGATGGGGCTCCCAACCTTCCCCCTAGGAAGATGATTCTACGGCCTCATAGGTCTCACTGTCAGGAAGTTTTTCTGAATATTGAGCCTAATCTTTTCTTTCCTTAAATGTAATCCTGTTTCTCCTAGTTATTTCTCAGGACTCTAAGGGAGACACCAGAGAAGAACTGGAAGAAGGGACAGAAGGTGAGCCACCAGGGGAATGGTGGAGGGAGAAGGGAGCAGCAGCACTCACCAGTGGATGGGGAAAAGGGGCAGGATGAGAGGATGGGCTGTGGAAATAAGTCATGAGTAGCTTGTTTTCCCCCATAGTCTGTCCCTTGGTAGCGCTTTCCATATGGCTATTCTCAGGGTAGGAACAAGCACTTCCTGGGCCATCTACAGTCTCATTTGACTGGAGCTCTCCACCTCTGATTAGTGAGACTGGCTCAGGGAGTGCAGAGTGGAGTGAGTAAGACTCGCCTGGGATATTACACAGAACTGTAATATCTGCTGCAGAGTGCTCAGGTCTCTAGTCACTCCCTCCTTATATAGTCGGCTCATGGTTGGAACAGCCTTCAGAGAGATCCAATTAAGGACTCTATGTCTGAATTGGCCTTGAATGTAAGTCCCTTGCATGGTTACAGATCTGAGACTTTCTTTGAACTGCAGTTAATTTAACTTACCAGGCCTAATAAAGAGTAACTACAAGTGCAAAGACCAAAATTAAAAAAATCAAAATCCACAATTAAAATGTAATACCTTGTGACACCTTCACAAAAGAAAAAGGTAGAAATCAAGTTAATTTCTGGCCTCGCAGGTCACCTATCTTTCTTGAAAGAAAACCCAATGAATAATTTGGGAACCTCTCTACAGAATTAGAACGTTCAATCTACAATACATAACAACAAACCACATTTTGACTTCCTGTTCCCCGTGGTTAGCATTTCCTGCACAGTGTTTGAATTTTCATTAGCTTTATTTTTACTGTAGAAAAAGCTTCTTGGGGCATCTTCATCATTTTGAAAGGAGAGTATATAACTATTAAGAATACAGGAACATCAAAAAAGTCTTTAAGGATCTGAGAAGGTTTTAAATGTGGTTTCCTTTCTAGGATCTTCAAGTATGGAGAATGAACCTGAGAATTTAGGAGGCACTATGTTCTCAGAAGAAGAAAATGCTGAAGGTACTATTTCCTCCTTAATATGTTACTACAATTGTGTACCAGATAATGCTGTCCCTTTGAGGGCAGGCCCAACCCATTGTGACAGCTTCCCCCTCCCAGGGTGCCACCTGGAACTGGGGTACCACTGAGCCCCCCTGACCCACCACACTGGGCTTCCTCTCACACTATATTCCTGGGACCAACTGCAAAGCCCTCCAGCCTGCACTTTCCCCAGCATTCATACAGGTAGGGACACATCCAGGTGTAGTTACATTCAGGCTCTCTGACCAGCCCTTGTATAGGAAAGCTACAGTTAGGGCAACTCCCAACTCCTCAGGCATGCACCCCCTCTGGAGTATATACCCAAAATTTTACTGTCTTGCGCTGCACAGGGAACTGTACAGCGTAAGCTCATAAAATTCACCCCTTCCCTCAATTTGGAGAGGAATACGCAAAAGCCTTTTGCCCCTGATGAGCTAAGATTTCCATACACTTCACTCCAACTCACTGGTTTAGATAAAGCAAAAACAAGTTTATTAACCACAAAAGATAGATTTTAAGTGACTATAAGGGATAGCAAACAGATCAAAGCAGATTACCTAGCAAATAAACTAAACACACAAACTAAATGATATAAGCAGGCCGCAGATTCTTAAGGTGCAAGCTGCACTTGCGTTACATCTTGGAACCCTCAGGTTTTTCCTTCACAGGCTAGAAAACCCTTTAGCCTGGGTCCTGCACTTCCCCCAGGTCAGTCTTTGTTCCTTGGGTGTTTCCAGGACTCTTTTTGGGTGAGGCGTGAAGAACCCTTATGATGTCACTCCCCATCTTATATAGCTTTTTCATATGGCAGGACAGTGGTGGATTTAGAGTTAGTGGGGCCCTGTGCTCAGCCCCCCTTGGGACCCAGCCAAGAAAAAGAACATTCTCGCTTATCTCCTCCCCGTCGTTCATTCTTTTGTTCTTCATTGTCCTCCTATAAGAAATAGGAAGAAAATGAAAATAAAGTGAGGTACCTTGATTGGTTATGTAGTCTAACTTATTTTTCCACAGACCACTTGAAAATTGCAGAGGGTCTCAGCAGATCACTTAATGATCTTTCCAGATACTCTTTGTAAAGTTAGGTAACTATTGTAAAGTGCTTTGGATAAGAGCGCTTATTAAAAAAAATGTAAAAAAACGTTGGGGTGA